CGAAGGAAGGAAGGAAAAAGACACCGATGAATGCAGAAAGAGAGAGTAGAAACATTAGAATGGGAAAAAGAAAACGAATAGGTACATATCATGAGGAAACAGAACCAAACAATCTGTTATAATGTTTTATAGTAGAGAAATTTCGGAAATTATGTTTCCTTTGAGAGGAACCTGATGACGTTAATAAATTATCATTCTACGGTCGGCAAAAGCAGAAGTAGTTAGGAATGACGTCATGATAAGCGATGATACTACAAACGATAACCAGACAATAGATCCTGATGAAAAACTGATCAAATCACTATCGTCTAAGAAAGATACATTTTAGATATGACATTCTTCATCGATGCATGTCGCAACACAAGATATGCCAGTGATTATATGAGAAAATTTTGCAGATGTACCTCACCATGCTGCGTTACTGAACTTCCAACAAAATAGTAAGATCAGATTATTTGACAGTTTACATTTAGTTATTTTAATGGCTGCTTTATCTGCCCGTCATGTGATTTGTCTTTTTATAAATGCACGACGAATGCAACTCGGCTGTCTTTCAATCACCGTTGTTCTTGGCTCTGTACTTTCCCATCTGGCTGAATAACTTGATCATGGCACAATGTGTTCTTAAGAGCCCGAGTGTATATTTGTGGCCCAGTTTATAATTCTTGACACCCAGCGGTTGTTCTCTCAGGAGACCCTATTCTCTTAGCCTCGCAAAAGACAGTCATCACTTCAGTATCGAGTGTGACGTCGAATCTGTGCATTGTCGAACCTCGCCTACCGTTGCTTTATTGGCAATTGGTGACCCTTAATTTGTTCCTCCTAGCTTTAGAAACAGACTGACAGTTAAGTCCGTGGATCATGTCATCTTCCTGCTTATGCTGATTTCCCCATCCGCCAGTAATAACTAAAGCATGCGACTAAGACAGAGATGTGTTTGAAGACTAAAGTCTCGGTGATCAAATCGATCTTTATCCCCGTACTTAGTTGTGGTCGTGAGTCGTGGACCACGACCGAAAAAATTCTTTATCGGCTACAAACGCTAAACGACCTGAGACGAATTACTGGGCTCACGAGTCTCGACATGGTCCGAAGTACAAACATCGCACTGAACGCACGATGGTGTACAGCTGCTTCTTGTCCAGATGGTTCTGGCACGTCTTTCAAGTACTTCCAGAAATGAATGCGAAACACCTAATACTTACTGACGGCCGAAATTCCCAGATGATGCAAAGAATGACTTGTGGCAAGTATCTAGACGTACTGTGATCCAGACTTGAGTTATCTTAAACGCTGACACAGGTTCGGGAGCGTCAGAAGCACCGTCTGAAACGTCTGTCTTCACGTGCCGAAAGGATAAGCGGTCGTAGAAAATGAATGACTGATTGACTGGATCCTTCAGCCCGAAACTTCCCTCGTCGACTCATCGTTTCAAAAAATGCCAGTGACAAAAAAATTTTTCAAACAAAAATAATCAGTTGTAGAAAACAAGAATGAGCGATTCATAGAAATCAACAGGAAAAAAATTTTTTAAACCGAGTTACGAAAATGTGGAAAAGAAAGAGTGAAAAATTTTGTACCGATATTTTGTGAAGTCCATTTTAACAAGCACCAACGAGATGAATCTTGTGAAATTCTTTATCCAAATATGAATTTTTCAGACTATTTAATCTTACATTGTTGTTGTCCATTACAAAACTCAGGATGTATTTGAGTCCGTCTTATAAAAAAA